ATTGCAGCCTATTCCTCCCTTCTAGCGTGCCCACTTCCCCGCACATCTTAGTGTCGTCTGTCGAAAGGGTCCCTTCCGACCCTACATCTATGAATCTATGAAAGGGGCCACTTGTCCGTTGTCCCCTCTTCCCGTGGGGCCCGAAGGGTGCCCTGTGCCCCACAGCTTGTCTGACCTCTCTCAACTATAGTCCAGGAAAGGATATCGCCCCAGACCCCTTTGCTTCTCACACGTTTCCATCATGCCTACAACACTCCAACCCTTGTTCCACCTATTTTTCATTCATGGATTGTAAGGCTGGAAGGAACCAAGGAAGATACCAGTTTACAGACACTGAAGGGGTGGAGAAGTGGTTTAAGTTTACCTAGAAACTAGTCGGTTTTGGTTCTGCAAGAACCGCTTCTTTATTAATATGCTTTAAGACATGGTGTGTGGTTGTAAAGTAGGCACCTGAAGCTAAGTGTTTTGTTGTGGAAGGGGTGTAGGTTGTAGGCATGTTAGTCTAAGGACACAGGCAGACAAGGTTCTTTGGGTGAATCTGTTGTCGTGGAAGGAGATAGATGTCAGGGCTAGTTTTTACAACAGAAGGATGAGCGTCAAAGTTTTGCTTTCAGTTACAAACAAAGTGACACTGGCTTGCCTGCCTTAACTCCAGATTCACAATCTTGGCTACCTGGAATTCAACTGTATTGACATAAGTATTGGGTAGTAATTAATTGAAGTCATTTAAAGCACTGGATCTTACAACAGGAATTTATTTTTTACTAGGGAATACCAACTGTAAATGTGGCCTTTGGCTGTCCTTCATTTAGGCAATAGGTACCACTTTGAAGATGGGGAAAATAAATTCACAAGATAGAATCATGCTAAACACAAGTTTACAATTTTTCTCCATGTAGAGACAACAGTTGGCTGTGCATTGTCATCGCAGTGTTAGTTGGAGAAAGTGCATCTAGCTGGTATTAGTTTGGGAGGCAGAGCTCCAACTCAGCCTTTTCAGACTTGAAGTACGCTCTCTGGCTACTTTGTTAATCTGTGGGTGGGTTAGGGTTGCAACTTTTCCAGCCAAACGCTTCTTATGAAAAAGTTAAGCTTATTTACAACCTGCCTTGCCCGCTTCTGTTTTTATTAATAAACTGTCACCCTTCATCTGCATGCACTAGCTGCTAGTTGATTTGAATGAAATCTAAGTGCTGTTACCAAGTCCATGATTTGAATTCCTGACATCTGGGATATGGATAGCCACTTTTCTTCCCCATTCTGGAAAATCTGGAGGCTGATCTTGTGCATACACACCACTAAACTCTGCAATTTGCATACACCTAGGCTGGAAAGCAGATCACTTTTAGTTAGCACAGGATTTCCTGAATTTTGAGAGGAAGGGAGGTCCAGATGTGTATGCTTATGTCAATTTACAAACAGACATCTCTTATTAAGTAATGGGGCATACCAGTGTCACCATGATGAATTTGCATCTTGATGTCTGGTTTAAACCAGCATCTATACCTTGACATACACACTGCATGTGTACAGCAGGGAGAAACATGGGAAGTTGTTACCCTTTCCATGTGATGTTTAGGTTTTATTTAGGGTTCAAATATTAATTTATGTACCAACACTTTAGTACTACTTTGGGTGAAACTCCCTTAATCTGGTATCATAACTTCAAGAGATCAAAGGAAGAATCTTGGTTGTGCAGACCAATAAACTGACAGCCCCTACCTTGACAGGGGAAAGAAAAGGCTAGTTTAAAATGCACTATAATTTAAGAGAACTTTTTTTTCCATCTTGAAACATAGACAATCCTCACTTTTGCTAGAACTACAGGGTTCCAGACTCTAGTGTACAAGACTTCTTCCCATCTGGCAAGCAACCAGCCACTTATATTCAGAACACATCTGAATTTAACTACACATTGACTACAGTTTAATAACCACCTTCCTCACACAGGAGCTAACAAAATGTTTAACCAGCATCTATAATTCATTCCCATTAATAAGGCAGTGGGTGAGAAAGAGAGAGAACCAAATAGGAGCTTCATGTCAGATATGAGAGATCAAAAGAAAACCTACATTATGTTACTAAAGGATTTCATAGACATTAGGGCTGGAAGGGACCTCTTGAGATCACCGGGTCCAGCCTCCTGCCCCAGGGGCAGGAAGTCAGCTAAGGTCAGATTACACCAGCAAGATAAGCATCCAGATATCTTTTCCTTGAACATTTGAAGTTCTGCAGACACTTAAAACCCCCAAAAACTAAAGGACAATGTACAGAAATGCTAATTTTTATATTTGTATTGAAAGTATTTTTTTTACAGTATGCAATTTACAAGCATCTTTGTCCAAATATTGTAGCATCTCTTGCTGTCCATGTGGCTGTAACAAACTCATTTGTCTTTTTAGATGAACAGTCTGTTTCAAGATACCTGATGTTGCGTTTTGCTTTTCTTTTAAAACACATTTAACAAAATGCATTAGGCATGTACAATCCATATATAAAAAGGGTTGGTTTATTGTAGTTCAAATACATAAACTGAACAATCCCAACATTTCAAAATTAAACTTTAGAAACACAAGTTTAACATTCAAAACAGGAGTATAGTTTACAAGAATTGCCCAGAAGGGAAATCCACAGTCTAATCCAGAATCCAGTAAAGATCACTTTATGGTAAATAAAAATGTTTTTATACAACCGTCCTGTTCTGGGAACCACTGTTTACTGTGTCTCCAATTTTGAACAAAAATTCTCAGACAAGTTTTCACTTGGGCAAAGCAACCTGATTTTGTCTATATATCAGCGGTTGGGGAGGGAACAAAGCAGACCTGTGAACAAATTTAGTTTGGTCTCTGCAATCCTAATTCTCATCTCACAAGTGTAACTCTACTGATTTTAATGGAGTTAATTCTGATCTTAAAAAGGTGAGAGAGCAAGTAACAAATCAGGCCCCGCTTTTCAAACTAAAACAAAAAAACCAAAAAACTTACTGTGGCCCTCAGCACTCAATAGTTCTGTCATGAGACAATGTTTCATCTGCTCAAACAGCTGACTGCAGGTAACCATCTGAAAGTTTGTTGTACTTGAGCAGGTAAAGTTCAACTCACAAATGTTACTCTTCCTTAAGACTTGCATAACACTGCTGAGAAGAATGCCTCCAAATATCACTGACATCCATACCTCATATACAGATACTCCATTGTTCTGAGATCTAATATTACTAAACACAGCCTGCATGGTTGGGATTTTGTCAGTCATGCCACACACACAAAAATAAAAGCTTAAATATCTTAAATGTTCTCTTTGTACAGAGAGACCCCCTTTATGTTCACAAACGCTGCTTTTTCCTCTGCTCCTCAGATGGTTTTGCAATAGGTTCACGGTAATGTATATGTAAAAACCTGACAGATGGCTCATGCAAGCTTTTTGAATTAACAGATACCCTTGCGTGAGAGAGTATTTCTTAACTATTTTGTTGTTCGTCTTGTGGGCTCTGAAGCTGTGGGAGGTGGTGGAGGACCTCGGCGGTCCAGGTCATCTACATAGGACACAATGAGTTTGCGTCTCTCCTCCGGCACACAGTCAAGTACCAGATAACGCTTGTCATTCTGTAAAATCTTCTCTACGTCTTTCAGATGCTGGTCAGATTCCTGGATCAATTTTTTGGACCTGAAATAAAGGATAAGAATTACTATCTGATGGCAGCCTAGAAGCCAACTTCAAATGCATTAGGTGCCTTAATCCAGTTAACTGAGGGTTGATGTCCAAATCATGAAAGATGCCCTTGTCATTAGAACCTTTCAGTAGTGCCACAAGATAGAACAAGTGCAGTGAGGGCACAGGCCCTCAAGCCATCCCCACATCTACAGATAACCCTTCAGTCAGCTGAGTCTCACTGGCAGGGAATTCTGTTGCCACTGCCTGTCCTTTATCCGTTGGGAGCATAAAAAAAGTCCGGTCTCAATGGCTGCCAGAACCTTTTATCAGCAGTAAATGAGCTACAACATGTAAAGTACAGGAAGAAAAAGTCACACAAAGTTAGGCAAGCCATTACAATAAGGATGATAAGCTCCCAATTACAGACCAGCTTGACTGATGCATTAATCTGGCCATCACTGCACCACTGACAGTAGTGACAATTGAAACAGAACTTCAATATGCAACACAGTACGGACTGCAAAACAAAAGGACAAGTAACTCATTAGGCTCTAATGAGCCTGTAAAGCTCCTATGTTTAATGCTTTACTTCTAGAATAGGAAGCTGCCCAAAAGAATTACAAGTCTTTGAAGTAGCCTCAAGGTCTACCGGAATCAAATGCAGCCATTACGTTTCTTTTGTAAACACTTTGACTGAATTTCTGGCCTCAAAGTAGTTAATGGAAGATTGGCTATTGACTGTAATGGGTCCATGATTTTATGCAGTCTCTTCTCCAAACTAGCATCACAGAGTTATTGTGGGTGTTGAACTGGGTCCTCAGCCCTTTCTACAATTCAAAGCAACTACTCCAAACAAACATGAAACTTGGCCCTCAGCACATGAGGATAACAGCCTGATAGCTTCATTCAATTTTACATTTCTTAACCTGTCTATGAAGGTTCACAGTATTGAGAAATCCATCATTTTCTGCTATGTGCTTTTTTCCTGCTGCAGGTGAAATCCTGTCTCAATTCAAAACAAAACTGAAATCCCTACTTTATCTGAGATACTGGGCTACAAATGTTGGCTAGGAGAACAGAAGTCAGTATAACATTTATATTTAAGTCACAGTGAAATGCACTTCTACAACATTACTACACAAACCTGTATGTTATAAATTTGGTCTCTTTCAATAGCGTTCTGAAGTCAGCTTTGGCAGTAATATATTTGTCTCTGATGTACTCTTCAAACTCCCTTTGCTTTTTCTGCATGAAGGGAAAAAAAAGTAATATGCCTGAAATATGACAAATCCTTGAAAATCCTATAGACCAGAGGATTATACACATTAGTGACTATAAAGTATCTAGGAAATACACATTTTATTACAGATTATCGTAGATATTACTATATGAAAAAAATCATTTAATTATAATTGCAAAATACGCAGTAATTAATTAACACCACTTATTTCATGTAAAAGGGAATCCACTGCAACAGGTAATAACTTTCTTGTGATGCATACTGCACTATGTAGAGCAGTGACACAAGACTTACCCTATCACTGGAAGAAAACTTAATGCATCTGGGATCTTCTTTAATTATTTTTTTCACTTCCTTCCATGTTGATGTTAAAGTAATCTTGAAAGAGGCAGAAATAGTTAGAAGCTACAGGCTGGTATTTAGAGTTGAAGTACAGTGCACTAGATTACTACCTACTTATCTGAAACCACTACAATCCTCAAGCTCAATAAAGACAAGAATACAGTGAAAGTTTAAAAAAAGT